AAAATAAAAAAATAAAAAAGATAATAATAAAAAATAATAAAATAAAATAAATGTCCCTTCCAACCAGGCGCCCCCTGGTTAAGCTGTTTTTCTCTCCACCACCGAAGCGGGCTGGCTGTGTCTCCACACTTCTCGCCTCCCTCTTCTCCTCCTGGGCTGGGACCTTTGCCCCAGCCTCTGCCCCCTGTGAGTCCTGATGAACACCAGGCGGGATGGTCAGCACCAAAGGCTGAGCGCGTCCAGATGCCGAAAACTCCGTCTGCCTTGTCCTGGATACCCGCAGCCGCAGGAGCACACAGACTACCCTCGGTCTGTCGCCCGCTGCACAAGGACTCTGCCTTATCACGCCCACTCTGGAGGGGTGGGGAGCGAGCAGGGAGAACTCCAATCCACTGAGATCCAGCGTCTCAGCCTCCAGGTGCGAGGAATCTGTCTCCCTTAACACGCCCTCCTCCTCTGATCAGCGATGCGCGCTGCCCGGGGATTTTGCCTTAGCGCGCGGCCCGGGGATTTTGCCTTAGCGCGTGGCCCGGGGATTCTGCCTTAGCGCGCATGCCAGCAGGGTAGGGGGTGAGCAGTGATCGATCTCCGATCTACTGAGAATCCCCGTCTCCGCCTCCATGGGCGCGAGCAGTCGGCCACCTCCCACGCGTCCTCCTCAGAAACGCTTGGCACCGGCCTGATGACTCTGCCCTAGCGCGCCCAGGCTGGAGGACAGGCCGGGGAAGTTTCCGATCTGCGGAGCTCCGCGACTCAGAAGACCGGGCGCCGCCCGTGTCTCCACTCGCCTCGCCGCCCAACTCCTGAACCCGCCGGGTCTGCCCACCTCTAAGTAGTCCGCGTGGGAGTCCCTTTGCTGCTCAGCGTGTCCAGCAGAGTTGTGTTTTCGCTGCCGTGGTTTGCGCGAGCTAATTCAGTGACTTCCTTACCGCGGCCATTTTCCCTCTCCCCTCAACAGCTAATATTCTTAACAAATAAAAACCTCGTGAATTAATAAGAAAAAGGGCAACACGGCAGGAGAAAAGAGCAGCTGGATGTGAACAGGCTATTTGCAGACAAAGGGAAAGAAAAGACCAATGCAACATTTTCCTAAAAGCCTGCACTAGCCATTGAGGGCCACTGTGGAGGAAGAGCTGGCATTCAGATCCAGCTTCTATCAAATAATAGTTTGTGACAACACAGATCGTACAACCTCTTTGAGCCACGATTATCCCACCAGTGAAATAAGAGTGATGATTTGTTTCTGGAAGTTATGTTAAGACTCAAAGCATTAGTAGAGCATCTGGACACATCCCACAAGGGTAATAATTTCCCCCACATGAAATCACGAGCCTAGCACCGTGCTCCTGAAGCCATGGCAGGGTCCTACCTAGATACTGTGTGAACCCACAAGCCCAGTGCTGTGCCCCTGAGCCAGGGTAGGGTCCTACCTGGATGCTGTGCACAACGTCCCTGAACAGGAGCGAGCGCTGGGTCCAGGTGCTCACCAGCTCCATGGCCCGGTCAAAGTTCTTGATGTACTCTCCATACATCTTGAGGAATGGGGCCAGCTTCTGCAGGATGTCCCCAAGCCGGGGATTCATGTTCCTTTGTGGGGAGGAGTGAGATCATCAGAGAAACAACTCAGGTAAGGAACTAAGTGGGACCAGGACTTCACCAGGAAGCTACGGGGTGAAGACCTAACTCTTAGTTCTATGTGATGAGAACAAACTGGTCCCGCTCTCTGAGCCTTAGTCCCACCCCCCCCACCCCACCCACACTGTATCACGTGGGGTATGAAATAGTGTGTTACTGGGAGGCAGACGAGAGACCATGTAACACACTTCAGCAGAGCAGGCACAGAACCAGTGCTCAAAACCAGGAGGTGTCAGGAATGGAGCCACTCAAATGATAGGCCAGTTATTAAACAGAAGCAAGGAAACTCCATTTACTCCTTTCAAATGAGCAAAGATTAGGAACAACGAGACTATCCAAGGCTGGTACTATCAATGGAAAGCTGCACTGTGTACTACTGACAATGGTCTAAACAGGGCTTTGGAAGTAAGTTTCAAGAAGTATAAAAATACATTAATAGGCTGGCCTGAGAACTTATGGGGGGATTATCCTAAATATCAATAAATCACTGAAAAGAAGAGAAAAAGGCACACGCACAGAGCCATTGCTGCAGCATTACTAGAATCGTGCGCTCAGGTATTTAACTCAAAGGCTCACCACCTGTGAAGACAGGCAGGCAAGCCTCTGGGCTCCTGCATGTGATTACACCAGGAGCCAGCCACACGGGCGTCTGTGCACTACCAGTCTAGGGCCGGAGCAGAAAACCCATTTCTAGCCACTGTGGACTGTCATCCTTGAGGCCAGTCCAGCCCTGAGCTTTAACCCGATGGCCTTGGGGACACAGTATAACCTGCTCTGCAGGTAGCTGGTCCCTCTAAAGATTTACAACCAGACTCTGCACCTGGCTGAGACTTGCAGGAGAAGGCCACTGGCCGCAGTCCCATGCTCTCTCTGACCTGGCTGTAGTTTGGAAGAGCCAGGCTCCTGATGCTGCTGTAGGGAATGGCAGCTGGCTGTAGCCAGCTCCGCGAAAAGGGGAGACAGCAGCAGCCACAAAGAAAAGCTGCAGCAGTGCCCAGAACGTAGTAGGGAACACATAAGGAAAAGAATGGCCATGCGGGTGCCACGCCTGTGGTGGTGTTAATCAGCGTGACATGTAGTTAAGCCAGTCCTCTACTAAGAATGAACAGAAGCAGCAGGAGGACAGGACAGAGTCCCGGACAACGGGAGGACCCAAGGTGCTCTGCTGAGGGGGCAAATCTAATTTTTTAAAACAAAGATGGAATATCCACTAGGAGGAAAAATGAACCAACCAGCAATGTTTGCTGGCTGTTTGATGCTTGCAGACATCTAACTCATTCAAGTTCCCTGGTGGTCTAGTGGTTAGGATTCGGCACTCTCTCTAACTCATTAAAATCCCACAAAACCCTGAGTAGGTATTAAAGTCCCTTTGATTTGCAGACAAAGAAACTAAGGCTGGGAGACACTAAGCAGCAGTGGGATCAGTGGGGTCAGGGTAGGCCCAGGACCTGGTGGAGAAAGAGCCCAGGGCACTGTGAGACTGGACTCCCAAGTGCTTGCCTGGCCTTAAGGAAAACAAACTCCAGATTTAGAGGCCACTTGGCAAAGAGAATTCGAAAAAAATTGCCGTGGCTGAATCACCAGGACCCTCAACCACCAACAGTGTTGGAGCCCGATTACCTGGGCAACACCAGCCCCACTTCCTGGGTTCTGTGAGCCACACTCACCATTCCTCTGTGATCCGTGTCTGCAGCTCAGGCAGGAGGAACTGCCCGTGGAAACGATAGATGGAGGAGATGTTAGAGAAGATGCCTGTGGTGACTTCAGGAGGAATACCTGCTTCCGTCAGCCGGGTGCAGAAAACCTGGGCACACAATGGTCACTGAGTATGGGTCAGCACGATGGGCTTATGCTTCTGCTGTGGGTGTGGATGCTCAGCTACTGTGACCACTTCCTCTTTCCCTAATAAACCTCCCACTTCATCAAAGTGGCTTAAACAACCTTATGGTTTTAAAGCAAACTTACATATGACTAAGGATTGGGGTTGAGGCAAGGACAGTTCCCTCCAGATGGGGACAGGCCATCTTTCCTCCATCTACCTCTCATGGGAAATGGAAAGTCCTGATTTCCTTTCTCTGCTTTGTGAGCTACAAATAGAAGCAACACCTGTCAACACCCTGGGTTTCCTTTGGAGTCTTACTTCTTGTGCTCATAAACCCCATGTTGCCACATGGACAGAGATAGTGCCACCCACAGTCCCAACTATTCATGCTGAAAGATGTCCAGAGGCCACCTACGTGCTCAGATAATATGGCCAATAGAAAGAAAGGTCCCCGAGGGGACTGGACAGGACCTTTACCCCAGAGCCACAAGCTCTGAAAGCAGAAAGTACACATTTCTGGAGAATACTAAATTTGTCTGAGTTTTAGTATAGTCATTGGTATTTCAACTGTAAGGCCTAGCCAATGCTAAGATAAGGAGTTTGCCTGTGAAACTGCCCACTGAAACTCTGGAGGTGGACCAAGGTGTGCCCCAGCCAGGAGAGCTACCTGGTCTAGCAGGTGCAGCCGCCTCACGTAGGTCTCCTCGGTGTGCAGGAGCTCTTGGGCGATGTGAAGCAGCTTCTGGGGCTCAGAGCACTGGCAAGAGAAGAGCTACAGCTTACCTGGAGAAGATGAGCCTTGAACAGGCAGGTCGGACAAGGTCTACCCACTGTGCACCAGCGATGACTAGGGGTGGAGAGAGGCCAGGAGAGGCTGCTGGGACTGGAATGTGGGGCTCAGTTCTCAATGATGGGATTTCCAGGGAGGTCTTCTGGAGCAGGCACAACACTTTCTGCCAATCCCCCAAAAGCTTCTGCAGCCCAGAGATGACTTTACTTTCTTGCGGCTTTGATGACAGAGCAGCTGCAGCAGCCACATCAAATATATTGTGGAGTGATGCCAGCAAGATGGCCGACTAAAAAACCACTGGCCCTCTTTCCTCCAGAGACATGGACTTAACAATATATAGACCAGAATACCCTTTGTGAGAACTCTAGAGACCAGTGGAGAAGCTACAGCTCCCAAGTCATTGTAGAACCAAGAAGAGATTCCCACAAATGGTGTAGAAAAACTGGCAGCATTTGTCATCCCTTTCATGTCCTTCTCATGCAGCATAGCATGGCACAAGTGGAAGGAAACCCCCTATATGGGGACTCCTCCCTCGGGGATGGAAACAAAAGAGTGAACTGTGCATCCAATGTTCTGACTTGTCTGGGGGCTGCCTGAGGGACTGGTTTCTGTCTTGTATGGCTTGGGGTGCTGACATGACCAGTGCCAGAGTTTGAAAACTACTGAAGACAGAGGCAAGAGCTGATGTTCTGCTGGCAGGTGCCAGAAGAAGGAGAAATCAGAAAAGGTTTAAGAGGTCCTAGGATCTCCAGCCAGGGTGACTGGTGGTCTTTGCCTGTACAAAGCAAGCATGCAAAGGCTGGAGAGGTGGTTGTTTTCCAAATGCCCAAAGTCCAGCAAAAATTACAAAGAAACAGGGTAACATGGTTCAATCAAAGAAGAAAAAAAAACCCTCCAGAAACCAACCCTATAAACAAACAGATCTATGTCACATTTTCCAGGACAGACCATGTTAGACCACAAAACAAGTATTAACAAATTTCAAGAAGGCTGACATCATATAAAGTATCTTTGCTAATCACAATAGAATAAAACTAGACATCAATAGCACAAAGAAAACTGGGAAATCTACAGATATGTGGAAATTAGACAACACACTTTTAAACAAGAGTCCAAGAAGTCAGGAAGGAAATTAGAAAATACTGTGAGAAAAATGAAAATGAAAACACAATATTGTTGACGAAAAACATCCGGCCTAAGAGAAAACTTATAAGAGTTTATTTGAGCCAAACTGTCGACAATTGCCGGGAAGCAAAATCTCAACGAATTGAGAAAATACTCTGCAAAATGGAGGTTTGCAGTTTATTTTATACATAAAATCAAAGGAGGAAGGTTACATGAAATTCATTGGTGATAAACAAAGGGGGTGGGACAAAGCAAAGCGGGGAAATCTTTGGGATTGGATAAAAGTACATTGTTGAGCTAGCCAAGTGGCTCAGTTGGTTAAGAGCTGGCTCAATAGTGAGCTCTGAGCAACAGGGTTGCTGGTTTGATTCCCGGACTGAGCTGCCAACAGGTGGCAGGATGGTTTAGCTAAAAAAAAAAAAAGTACATTGGAGAGACAGGTGCTCCTCCCACACAGGTGGGTGCAGGATAGCTAACAGTTAGCTCTTTAGAGCACATAGAGATGTTAATCAGGAGATAAGCATAATAATGAGGAATTTTGCAGTTTCCAGCTCTGGTCTGGAAAAAGGATTAAAGATGTTGTCTTAGGTGCAGAAAAACAAGAGGCTCACTGAAAAGGCACAGGGCTAACTTGATGAAGGAAGCTAAAGATGTGACTTCCCACTATGGCCCACTTGGTTATAAAAGTTTTTATGCTCACGCTATTTTATGTGGTTATTTTCAAACTTCTGAGCTTGTCAGGTTTAACCTGTGGCCCCTTTTCCGTCCACAATATACTGTAAAGACCCAGGCCCAGACCCTAGGCTAATCAAGCTCATTTTGGAAAGTACCCCCGCCCAGAGGAATTTAAAAACTCTTGCTTCAGCCAAACATAACAGAATGTCCTGTCAAGAAAGTAGAAAAAGATAAGTGAGTCATGTTTTATAGCTCGTTAGAAGAAAATAAATTCGCCATGTTTTATGGCTTGTTAGAAAATAAGCTAACTATGTTTTATACTTCGTTAAAATAAAATAAACTAACTGCCTTTTTTTTTCGCTTCTGTATCCAGCTTCAGCTATAAATTCCCCATCCGCCAAGACTTCGGGGCCTTTCTCCTCTTGCAGAGTGAGACGGTCGCCAGGCTTGGCTAATAAAGCCTTTGGAACGAAAACCTTTTGTCTAAGTTTTTGTTAACAAGTGGTGACCCCAACAATACTAAATTTATAGAATGCAGCAAAAGCAGTGCTGAGAGGGAAGTCTTTAGCTGTAAATGTGTATGTGAAAAAGGAAGAAAGACTTCGAATCAACAACCTAAGTTTATACCTCAAGGAACCAGAAAAACAAGAACTAAACACAAAGCAATCAGAAGGAAGGAAACAACAGATTAGAGCAGAGATAAATGAAATAGAGAATCAATGGAAAAATCAACCAACCTAAGAATTGTTTTTTGAAAAGTTCAATGAACTTGACAAACCCTTCTTTAAAGTTAACTAAAAAAAAAGAGAAGACTCAATATCAGAAACGAAAGAGAAAACATCACAATTGATGCCACAAAGATAAAAAATTATAAGAGAATATTATGAACAATTCGATACCATAGAAGAAATGGATAAATTCCAAGAAACATATAACCTACCAAGACTGTATCACAAAGAAATGGAAAATCTGAACAGACCAATAATGAATAAAGAGATTGAATAAGTAACTGAAAAGTCCCAACAAAAAAACCCTGGTGGCTTCACTAGAGAATTAATGCTTCCAAAAAATTGAAGAGGACAGAGCACTTCCAAGCTTATTCTATGATGCTAGCATTACCCAAAGCTAGACTAAGATATTACAAGAAAAGAAAGCTGTAGGCCAATATTCCTAATGAATATTGATGCAAAAATCCTCAAAAAAATACTTTTTTAATTCAATAACACATTAAAAGGATCACATACCATGACCAATAAATAAAGGAATTTATTTCTGGAATGCAAGAATGGTTCAATATACAAAAATCAGTCAGTGTAATACCTCACATTTACAGAATAAAGGGGAAAAAAATACATGAGTATATCAATTGATGCAGAAAAAGCATTTGACAAGATTCAACATCCTTTCATGATAAGAACAGTCAACAAACTAGGAGTAGAAAAAGGAAACTAACTCTACATAATAAAGGCCAATTGGATATGTGTGTATACCTGCATCACCTCACTATGTCAGCACCCCCTCATTCTACCTGGGTTGGGGGACATGAGGCACAAGGTCCCTGGGCTTCTGGTCCAGAGCCTCACCCTGAGAACTGGGGCACTGTGTGATGAATTGCATTGTAACCAGAACCCCATGGCGGAGAAGAGAGACCTATTCCCACCAGTGGCAGAGTAATATCACCTTTTCGTGTCACAGACACAAAGACTAGGACCTTCCCCAGCAAGCCTCTGGCCCTGGGAGCATCCAGAGCCTGTGAGAGCAGGATGGGGCCAGGTCTGGGGTCTGCACATCTCCTCAGGACCTGGCAGACTGAGGTAGCCAGCTTCCCTGGAGCACACCTTGAGAGTCAAGAGTGGTGGGGCCCATAGTAGACACATCGTTTATTTTTATTTTATTTTATGATGTTTTGACATCTAGGGGCCTTGCTTAGCCTGGAGGGCCTACCCCCATGGACAGCGGATTACTGGTCATTAAAGGCCCTGTCTGCAAATGTGTCTTTCATATGCAAACCAACCCATCCAGGGCCCACACCCCAACCACCTCCATATTTGCTCTTCCCCACCCTCCTGCCCTAATCACCCAGGTCTGAATGCCAGACCAGAGTCCCCTGGAGTTATTCAAACTGGCTAATCTTAACTTTGCTCAGCTGCCTCACCTGTTTCTTCCCTCAGAAACCACAACAAAGGCTCTTGCCCTCGGTCCCCCCACCTACTCAGCCTCCTGACTGACCCTGTGCTTCTTGCCTGGCTCTGGGGTATGGCATGCCCCTCCTCTTGGGAACTGTGAGTAACCACCTATCTCTCAGTGGTCATCCTCTCCTGACCTGTTGACCTCACCATACTCAAATAATGATAAACCTAGATTAAAACTCGGCCCAACCAGGCTCCCGGAAGTTGGCTCACAATGTGCAGGCACATGGCTACCCTTCACCTGCAGGCCTGTCTCTCCCTGCTGCCATGTTAGCCAGCACCCTCTCCACCAGGAGCCTGCAAGCCTGACTGTGTTGCCACCTGGCTTCTCTTGGCACCTAGTTACTTGCAGTTTATCCAGGGCATTCTCCCCATGCACAGGTGGCCTCTCTAAGCTAGGGGTTATCTGCTTTATTTCCACGTCCAGAGCCCAAGATGCTAAAGGGATGCATACAAGCTTTCTGTCAGGGCCAACCCAGCACACCTCGGACACAGCTTTTCCCCTGGATACCTGCTCAGGGCTCCATGCATCTACTTAGGCCCTCTTCCTGCCTCTGCCCACCCCGTGGGCAACTCTGGGGTTTTCCCCTTCATAAAACGGTGCCCCTCACTCTGCCTCCCTCACGGGGGTTCTGCAAGGTGGACAGCAAGCTTGGGCAAAGGGCACTGGTATCGGCACTGTTACCACTCAGACTGATGGCCAGGCCTCCCTGGGGTGGGGTCCCTGTGCCGCTGTGCAGCTGTGGAAAGCAGGCGCAGGAGTGAGGTCATTACCTGAGGTGTCGGGGTGCTGGTTTGCATGGTCCTTTCCCAGGGCCTGCCCACCAACCCAGAGAAGAGGCCTCTCCAAGCGCGGTGTCTGCACGGGCACTGGATGACTGGCACTGCAAACCCAACCCTCTGGAGGAGCCTTGCCGCCCTGGGGCAGGAGAGCAGCATACCTTGGCCGGGTCCGGTTCAATGTTGGCCCTCGAGGAGCTGTTCTCTGGCTCAAGCTCCTCGCTGCTGTCCTCGCCCACATCGCTGTCGGCCTCTTCCTGGGAGGCTTTGCTGTCTGAAGCCATCTCTGGGTGCAGCCCCAGGATGGTGGGGCCCAGGCCTGCTTTACTGCCTTTCTTGCGGGGGAAGGGCTCATTGGCCAGGCTACAGGATGGGCTGTCGATCCCACTGTCCCGGTTAGGGCTCTTAGCATCGCAGCTCGGCTCTCCTTCAGAGCCCATGTCTGGGGGTCTGTCCCCCACAACAGCCTGGCCACTAGGGCTCTCAGGGGCATGGTTCTCACTGTGGGCTCCAGGCCCAATGGGCAATGCTCGGAGCTTCCCTGGATCTGTGCTGTGCAGACCAAGGGAGGAGCAGCCAGGCCCGGCATCTGCCCCACCCAGGGTGGCTACAGGCCCCAGGGCTCTCGCAGACCTTCCTCCTGACTCCATCCTCACAGCTGAGCACTCTGAGCTCTGTAGGGAGTATGGCCACGTTTGGGGGGCTTCCTGTAAGGGAGAAATGAGCATAGTCAATGTCAGCGGGGCTGTGGACCAGCCCAGGGTATGCCTCCCCGGGGAAAGTCAACATGAGTTAGGCCTTGTGGGAAGTGAACAGCCCAGCCAGCTTCAGCTGGACCTATCTAGTCAGGCTTTTGGGCAATGGCTAATGGAAAGCACTGTATTTTAAAAATATATTTCTTCTACATACAAAATGAAGGAAGAAAGAGAGGGAGGGAGAAAGTGAGAGAGTGAGGAAGGGAGGGAGGAGGGGGGAGAGAAGAAGCAGGGGAGAGAGGAAGGGAGGAATCCTATTGTATGAAGCTACCTGCTGTTCAATGAATTCAAAATAGATGTGCAAAATAGTAGCAATGACCATCATGAGCACAGTGGATCGGGTCTATAATGTGCTTTGGCATCCACACCGCTTTATATGCTATGATGTGGCTAAGAGGTGAGGCAGGATCCCCATCAAGATGCCTCCTCACCATCACTACCACTATTCTGTCACACAGGTGACCAGGCACCTTCTAGAGAACTTGGGGCCAGAGGGGCTTTGCCTCAAATTCCTCTTCCTCACACACACTGGAGGCTGTGCCTTCACATCCTGCCTCACCTGGAAGCCCTCTCTGAGGAGACGCAAGTTCAAGTGTCATTCTAGGTGCACAGAGAATGCACAGGATATCAGCCTTGGAGGGTTAAAGGTGGGACTGGACCAAACTGAGATTGACAGTCCCTGAAATCTTCCTCTTAAACCTGCAGTGGAGCTGTGAAGGAGGACAGGGACCAGAAACAACAGTCACTTATCCCTGAGGGACAGGCCATTTACCTGATGCCCACAGACGCCCCTGTGAAGTTGTTGATGTGGCAGATGGGTGCCTGGCTCCCTGATGGCCAAGTTCCAGGAGACTCAATTGGCCATCCAAGACCACTCTTGGAGATTGGGGGGATTCGCTGAAAATCTCTTTCTTGTCCAGCAGGTTTAAAGCCGAGCAGTTCAGGAGGTTCTACAGCAACATGAAAGGAGAATGAAAGCCAACATCTCCACTGGCACTTGGAGCAGCCAGGGCGACAGGCCCGGTTCCAAATAGAGAGGGTGGAAGGGCGTGGTGGACCCCAGGCAGGTGACAGGGCCTGTGAGGTGGATGCAGCATGCTGCTTCCCAGGCCCCAGCACAACGGGCACCTGAGGCAATGGCTGGTGGTGTGTGGCAGCTCCCAGGGCCCTGCTTAAAGCTCTGGGCCCAGAACCGAGCTTGTCCCTGACCACGCAGTGCCCATGCCAGGGAGGCAGATCTCACCTAGTTAGTGCACGGAGAGCTGGTGGGTACCACCACGCACCTCCCAGTGCACACCCTCAATGCCTCACTGTCGCCCTCCCAGACACACTCCCTGCTATGCTGCCAGTAGCTTTTTCACACACTCCCCTCCTCACTGGCTAAACAGAGTAAAGAACCATCTATGGAGATGCAGGTCTCACACCCACAACCAAGGAGTGTCCCAGAGCCTTCCACTCCCACATCGCGTCACATGGCAGAAACACCCCCCAGGCAGAGCTCAGAGGGAAGTGAAGCAGGAACCCAGGTGGCCAAGCACCAACTCCAGCCTCTGCAACAGCCTTCTCCCCTCTCCTGTGGCCAGACTTCTGAGCAGACCTTTCTCTGACACCCAAACCAGTGCAGGACATGCATATATCATTGGCCACTGCCACATTCTTAACAAGCTTAATGGGGAGAAATATTAAGATTTCTAAACAGAATATACATGGTTTGCTGCATTCTTCTCATAGCACAGGAGATAAACTAAACTTTCCAGAAATCAGACATGACACAGCAGTAAAACTATGCCAGATGGAATGCGGGCTGTGCACTCAGCTTCAGTGTGTCCAAATGCAGGCAGTTGGTACCAGGCAGAGCCTGCTGCAACCCTATCTCACGCTCTCCTGCTTTTCTGGTCAAGGGGCAGTAACAGAAACCAGAGTTAGTCTCTTGCCTGCAATAACCCAAACCTGGAAAAACATATAAAACAACAGCTTGAGAGGTATCCTATACCAGGCAGCAAATCCCGGTGCTCCTGAGAAGTGGTAACCAGTGTAGTGTACCCTCTGTCTCCCCAGCTTTCTTCCTGGGGAAGGGGACCCCAGGTAGACACCTGAGTGCAGAGACAGAGCTGAGAATCTAGGAAGACCAAAGTGGCTGGAGGTCACAGAGTAGAGCACTGGGGAGGAGAGCACAACACAGAGAGATGAGAGTTGACTAGGGCCCTCAGGATGGTTCAGCACAGGTGTGCAGGAGCCACGAGCCTGGAGAAAGAAACTCCTTTGAGGGTGGAGAGAACACCACCTGGAACTCACACAGGTAGGGCACATGCCCATTCTCACTGGCTCACTGGCCAGGTGGGAAACCGCAGGTTCCACAGAGCGTTATAGAACCTGGACGGGTTTTGCCTCAGTGTGGGGAACAATTAACCCTATAGTGATCTTATCAGGCCCTACCTAACTGATGTCGAAACTTAACAGGAAATCCATCTGTTTACAAGCAACTCAACTGCATCCCTGAACAGTGCTCATGAACAATTATAGGAACACAAACATACTGAGCGCCCAGCAAAGTAAGATTTACAGTGTCTGGCACCCAACCAAAAATTATCAGCCACACAGAATGCAGGAATACACAACCACACTAAAGAGGAAGCGTCAGCGAGGTGACACTGACCTTCAGCTGACACGGAGCTTGGAATTAGCAGATGTTAAGGTAGCCATGGTACCTGCATTCCATCATGTTCAAAAGGTCAGCAGAGACATAGAGGGTATAAAAAGATGCACATCTAACTTCTGAAAGTGAAACACACAAAGTGTGAGATCAAAGCCCACTGCAAGGGACTGATGGCAGATTAAACACTGTGGAAGAAAACTTATTGAATTAGGAGAGACAATAGGAGCTCTCCAAGAAGAGAGAGAGAGAGAGAGAGAGAGAGAGAGAGAGAGAGAGAGAGAGAGAGAGAGAGAGAGACTCAGAGACAGAAGTATAGAGAATATTATGACATAGGGAAACTTCAAGCAGCACAATATGTGCCATCAGAGTTGTTATATGTAATTGAAGTCCCCCAAAAGAAGTGAGCTGGAAAAATATTTGAGGAAATAATAACCAAAGTTTTTCCATATTTGATGGAAACTATAAATTCATAGATATAAGAAGCTCAGTAAATACCAAGCACAAGAAATGTTTGTATTTAAACAATTTTTTACAGAAAACTCCAGGCTTAGATGGCTTCACTGGTGAATTCTATCAAACATTTGAGGAAAAAATGATGCCAACTCTACACAAACCTTTTCAGAACATTCAGGAAAAAAAGAACGCTTCCCAACAACATGGATTAATCTAGAAATAATGATGCCGAATGAAAGGAGACAGACAAAAGAGAAAGTACCTACTTGCTTTTCCGTTTACATAGAATTTTAGGAAATTCACGCTAATCCAGTGTCAGAAAGCAGACCGGTTGCCTGGAAGGACGGGTGGCATGGTGAGGTGTGGGGTTTACAGCGAAGAACAGGAGGCTGTCCAGGGGTGACAGATGTGCTCACCATTCTGACTGTGGTGATAGTTTCATGGGGATAGACGTCTATCAAAACATCAGATTATACACTTTAAACATACAGTTAATTGTGTGTCACTTATGCCTCCTAGAAGGTGATATCTCTTAGCTGTGCGAACTTGGAGAGTTGCTGACATTCCCCACTGTAATTTTTCTTATTACAGAAGGGACAGTGAATCACACCGAGGATGGTGGTGAGGCGTGTGGCAGGCCCACAGCCTGGGGAGATGCCAGCAGGGCAGAGGAGAGAGGTGCAAGCTTCCACTGAAGGCCCTTGAGCCATGACCATTTCATCTTCCAAGGGCTTTTGTGCAAGGGCAGCCAAACAATGCTTGGCCAGACAGGAAAGCCCAGGGCTCAGGGAGCAGAGCACAGGGCAGGGGGGAGGTTTTGGAGGGGGAGCAGCCAAGACCAACCCGATCTGATTCAGAAAGCTGAGGGATGCAGCCCATGGCCTCACTCAGCTCAGGACAGGTCTCCCAGCTGTCTTTCCCAGGCCAAAGAGAGTACCAGAGCAGGCCAGGTCAGTTCCAGCCTCCTCTCCACACTGCTCAGGAGAGGAGGGGGCTGTGGGGAGACACACATGTGCACAAATGCTCACACAAACACACATGCCTCCACAACACACATGTGTGCACACATTATACCTATAAACACACAGTTACACACACACACACACACACACACACACACACACACACACACACACACACATGTGCCAGGAAGAATGCTAAGCACTTTTGTACAATTGCTCAGTCACAGTCACTGAAGTGGGTGACGTTCATGTTTCAGTCAAAGACCATTGAGGCTGACCCTGGCCACACACTGCACTGGCAGGAAACAGGTCCTGGGCCCATCAGAGATGTCTCTCTGAGCCCCTTGACTGGGCTCTGGGCTCATTATGACACTCCCAGGGCTGAGGAACATGTCACCACACAGGTGCCAAAGAGCTGTTATCAGTTCTCTCTACCTGGCCACTCAGCTCTCCTTATAGAAGTCCTGAGTTGCCTGAGCTGAGTGAGGCTGGTAACTGCCTACCCCAGGTGAGCTGTGCCTGCTGTAGGATTGGCCAGGGCCCGGGGCCCTCGACACCTGAGGCTGCCATCACCCAGCATCAGAGACCCCAACACTGGGACTGGGAGAGGTATGAGGATTGCAGGGTATGGGGAAATTAAATTTTCCCCACTCTCCAGGGCACTGCAGACCATTTAATTGGCTCCATACACAGCAGCAGCAGACCCTGGAGACCCTGCACTGCTGGTGGCAGCCAGAGTGGCCAGGACCCTGGAAGTTCCAAGCAGGCAGGGACTTCCCCTATCTGGTCACTGATGTGACCCAGTGGCCCTGGCACATGGGGCCCCAGCTGACGGCCCCCAGCAGCCCCCAGAGGTGTGAGCCTGAGAGAAGTCTTTGGAACTGTCCCAGCACCGTCTGGCAATAGCCCCAGAGAAACCCTGAGTGAAAGATGCCCAGCTGTGCCCTGCCAGCCCCATAATCGTGAGAGATGACAACCCTCAGTGGGTTTCTCTTTACTCCACAAAGTTCGGGTGGTTGGTTACTGCAGGAGGTAATTAAACAATTCTGCAAGTGCCACAGAGTAACATGAGGAATCCCTGCGTGACACACATCTGCATACAGGTCACAGACTGCGAGGTGAGGCTGCAGAAACGGAGGCCATATCAACAGTGAGAAAGGACATGCCAGATGGAACGGCCCGTAGCCAGTCCACAGAGCCACCCCAGGATCCAGAGGTGCCCTCCCTCTAGGGTCAGGATCTGGAAGAAAGATGCTTGCCTTGGGGCCTCAGCCTGGGAAGGGCTCTGGCTGCAGCCAGTGTGGCCTGGGGTGTCCATCCTGTGTGCTGAGAACTTTGAGATGGACGCAGATGCTGTGAGGGGCCACATGCTTCTGGACGTGGTGGAGGTCAGTGGGACCTCAGGGTGGGAGGGGGCCCCAGGGCAAGCTGAGTGGGGAAGAAAGGAGATGGATCAACACAGTAACCTTTCTGCTTGCTGTGAAGTCCCACTGCCCCTCCCCTTCAAACAGCTCACACACCATCACTTTTAAAAGTTACTGTTACTTTTAAAACTGTATCAAAAATGAGTCCTTTTTAGAAAACTTCGAAATTATGGATAAATAAAAAAGAAGCGAAAGTCACCCATTGCCCTAGTGTCAGCATGCCTGTGAGTGGACAGATGCCTGCAGGACAGACAGCTGGGTGGGGGTCCTAACACTCCCAGATAGGCTGCAGCTTTTCTCAGAGAAGCTGCATTTGTTCCAACACTAAATCCCAACATGAATTCACTGTGTCCTCAAGAAGGTATTTCTCCCAGAAGAATTGAAAGCAAAGACTCAAACAGACATTTGTACACCTACTTTCACACCAGCACTATTCACAGTAACCAAGAGGTGGAAGCAACCCAAATGCCATCAACAATGAAAGGATAAACAAGTGAGGTCTATAACACAATGGAATATTATTCAGCCATAGAAAGGAAATAAATTCTGACGCATGCTACACCATGGATGAACCCTGAAGACATGCTCAGTGAAATAAGCCAGTCACAGAAGGACAAATACTGCATGATTCTACTTATATGAGGTCCCTAGAGCAGTGGAATCACAGAGACAGAAAGCAGAACGCTGGCTGCTGGGACTGGGGGGAAGCGAAGGGGGAGTTATTGCTTAAGGGGACAGAGTTTCAGTTTGGGAAAATGAGAAAGTTCTGGAGATGGATGGTGGGGATGGTTTCACAACAAAGTGAATGAATTTAATGCCACTGAATGGGACATTTAAAAGTGGTTTAGATGGTAAATTTTATGTTATGTGTATTTTACTACAATTTTTAAAAGCTTTAAAAAAATGCATTTCAGAAAGGCTCTCATCAGAAGTTCTATGAATTAGCGCCAAGGTGACAGTGACTCAAAAGCATCTAAAACTTACTCTCCAGCCCACACCTCTGGCCCCTGGGCCTCAACTGGGCCTTTTCTCCTCATACCCACCCAGAGCCCACTGCCCTGGCCTGGAACTGTTGCTGCCTATAATAAATTTAGGATGATTTTCTGAGACTCTGGCGCCTCACCAGGTGGCACTCCAGTAGGAAGAGGGGACGCATGGAGACCCCTCCTGCCCCAGAGGGTCAGCCAACTCCAGCCAGGTAGAGACCCAGCCTGACTCCTCCCTGCTCTGGCCTTAGGCTGTCCCCTGGGTCCCTCAGCTACAACAGCCCCCACGAACTGCACAACGAATTGCAAACCCTCCTTTGTGAGTCTGTGGAGGAAGCAGTGCAGTGGCCTGAGGCTGTGTGTCTAGCTGATCGGTTTCTACCATTTACAGCTGGGCACCCAGACAAGCTCACCCTCTCAAACACTCCTGTGAAGGTCCCTAAATCCTGAGGCAGCGCACAGCACTGCACCCCTTCCAGGGCCATGTCCTGTGTACGCAGGACTCACATTAATGAGGACTTGTGCCCGGCGCTGGATCAACAGGAGCTCCTGGATGACAAGGCCAGGAAAGCACTGGGGGCGCTGGGACAAGGAGGTCCGGAACATTGCACGGAGGGCTGGGGGTGCTCAGGGAGCCCACAAATGGTTCCGCCTCAATTATTTTACTTACATATTTACTTAATATTTTTCTTTTACTTTCTATTTCTATTTTCTAGCTTTAAATTTTCTATACTTATTTTATTTCTTTTGTTTTTGTTGTACTTTCATCTAGAAGGAGTATAAATATAAACACTGCAGTCACTATCCATTGCCATATACATAAAAAGCAACTATAAAAATAAAATCACAACCTTAAAATGAAAAACAAATCTTCCCCGGTCCAAGTACCTAGATGTGTGACAGACCAAGCCAAATTTTAGGGTGGGCACTGAAAAATTCCTAGAGTTTTGCTGTATAGTTGAAATTTGTTTATAATACAATTTGGGAGAAAACTTTAGCCCTGCAGCACCCACGCTTGAGGTGGTGGGGGAGAGAGGCCCCTTGTTCCATTCTTTCCATGAGTTCAGATTGACCTCCCCTGTTAGCCACCCTGGGCTCACTACACAATTCTGTCTATTTTTTATTATGTTGGATATTTTTTTATTTTTAAAAAGTAATGAAATGAAACAAATGGGAACCTTCCAAAAGGTTCAACTGACACTGAAATCTGTCACTCCCTCCATACCATCCTGGGCTCAGGCCTCTCCAGGAACCATCTCAGGGAACAGCCTGGCCAGGGCATGTCCTAACCTGTACACGCCCTGCTCCCCAGGGCGCCCACACCTGCCCACTTCACTCCCACCAGGACACTGCCCACACAAATGGAAAACTCGCTTCTTTCGCATGGTCCCCACACAGGACCCGGTAAGCATTTTGGTGAATAAATGAACGGATGAATTGAATCAACATGCCACACAGCCTTTATTTCCCTTCTAATGTGTACTTTTACATAGACATAGAAAAACATGCTCTGGCTGAGTCCAAACTTAGAAAATAAAAAACCGAAATGGAGATTATGGAAGGTCAAACCCTACCTTCTAGAGTCTGGCCTGGCTCTCCCAGGACGTCTTGTTTAACTGTACGTCACCCTATCAGGTTATTATAGTGAAAGGGAGGCCAGAGGGCAATTCACTCTCCCAAAGAGCTGTGTCCTGGGCACTGACAGGCTCCCCGTGGGCCTCTAAGTCCCCAGAGCTGACTCATAAGGTTGGTCACCATCCACCTCACTGGAGACCTGGGTGACCAGTCATCACCACCACACATGGGGGTTCACACAGAGGAAGCAGGATCCCAGACAAAGGCAACAGCATCCCAGAGAGCACAGCATCCCAAATAAAGAGGACAGCATTACAGACAGAGGGAACAGTGTCCAAGACAGGGAATAGTGTCTCAGAAGGAAAAGCATCCTAGACAGAGGAGCAGCACCTCAGACAGAAGAAATAGCATTCCAGACAGAGGGAACATGTCCCACACAGAGGAAACATGTCCCAGACAAAGGGAACAGTGTCCCAGACAGAGTGAACAGCATCTCAGAAGGAACAGTGTCCAAGACAGAGGGAACAGCATCCCAGACAGAGGGAACAGCCTCCCAGACAGAGAGGACAGCATCCCAGAGGAAACATGTCTCAGACAGAGAACATATCCCAGACAGAGGGAAAGGCTTGGAGGCAAATGAGAGTGAGGAGCCAGGCCATCTGAAGAACTGGCATTGTTCCCAGGTGAGTGAGCCCAGAGAGGTAGGAGGTGGGACCTAGAGGATAGAACCAGGATGGATCTCACAGCTGTGAGCAGACAGGGTCGGGGTTTCACATCTGTTCTAAGGTCAGTACTGCACCAAGGCTGCATTTTTACTCCCATGCTCACCCCTTTTACAGCAGAGCCACAGTTTTCACAGCTGTCAGTGGAGGTTATCAGAGTCCACCTTGGGCAGGTAGAGAGTGCAGATCAGGTGCTCCAGCAACTGGACCAATGACTCCTCCATGGTCACTATTCTGAGTCCAGGGCCACTCCTAACCCAAGCTCACATGGGACTCAAGACAGCAAAGCCCCACCCGCCATCTGGGGCCTCATCTCTGACTTTGAAAGACCATGCGGTCCAGGCTTCTATGAGTACAGGGCACACAGTCCTATCCAGCCTCATATCAGGAGGTGTTGATCTCTGTGCAGAGACAGACGTCAGCCCCAAGGAGCGGAACTGGGGCCTCCTGCAACTACCCAGCTGGGGCCAAACCACTTCCTGCCTTTGCACCCGTCTCCACCCAGGCCCAGCAAGCTGTCAGGCTCCGAAGGTTTGGGTTTGGGCACAGATGGGCAGCATGCAGGCCGAGGTCTGGGACAAGCAGTGGGGCACTATGGGCCTCAGGCTCCTCTCCTGCAAGAATGGCCAAGCAATGGGCCCTAGGAGCTGTCGGGAGCTTGCCCTGAACACAGCAGCCTCGTAGCACTGTGCTCACATCAGGAGCCTGGCACCACTTGGCCCCTCTTTCCAGGCAGGAGAGCAAGGCGGTTGGAGCAGCTGCCCAAGGTCACAGAGCTGGGGCAGGGACTGCATGTCTGGCCACTACCTCACATCATGGGGTCCTGAAGAGGCCCTGATGGACTTGGCCCTCTGTCCCAGTCATGCTACCATAGACAGGCCCTGTCACTATCTAAACTGCATGTTACAGAGGAACCACATTGTGTTGGAAGGCCTCGGCCAACTAGGGACTGTGTCTGTGTCCATCTATCCCACCTTGGCCCAGGCAAGGAAGACCCACAAAGCTCCAGGCCTGAGCAACAGGAGTGGGGTCAGGTGTGGGCAGGTGAGCCGGCCAGGCTGAGGCAAAATTGCCCTGAACTGCTCAGCTGCCAGGATCCCAGCCTCTCCTAGGCTCAGGTTCATCTTTGCTAGGGCCTGAGCCACCCCAGATGAACCCCAACACTGTTCTGGCACTCGACGTTTACTAAGGATTCATACACTTGCTATTCTGCGATGCCCACAATAACCTGCCTTTTAACAAACAATGTCAGAGAAACCACAGGAAGACAAAAGTACACAAACAATACACCACTCAGTGCCACCACAACAGCTTCCTGCCTTGAAGACATCTGTCCCCAACAGCTCCTGCTCTGAATGTCCCTTCACGCCAAAAACACCCCTTACAAGACCAGTGCAGGCCCTTCAGGCTGTGAAGACCCCGGAGCCAGCGCCACTCACCTGTTTCTCTGGTGCTCACACTTCTCTCTGGGGCTGACTTCAGGAAGCAGCAGAGCACATTTCCGTTTGCTAGTTTGCGCAATACGGGTCACCAAATCATGCACAAGAGCATTTCCGCATTGTTACACTTTTCAGCTTGCTAGTGCTCCAGTGCCTCATCTGTGAAAACGCAGCCCAAACCGGTGGAACACTGCCCGAGGCACAGGCCACAGTAACCCACTTTGGCCTGCAGCAGCTAAAGTTTACCAGGCTGCTCCAGTGCCCCTGAGCTCTGGGCTAGAGGCCACAACACTCCCACCTCCGCCGTGGTGGGCTTTTCTTAGCAAACCTGCAGGTGCTCACAGCTTGGATGGTCAGAGAGAGGCATCCAGCGGGCTGAATGGTGGGACCTGCCCCAGACCACACAGACAGCAGCCCCACAGGCTGAGGTCAAGGGCCCAACAACCTACACAGGCTTCTGCCTCAGGGTCTTTTTGGGTGGAAACCGGGAAAAGGACCACAGACAGTTGGAAAACTGAAAGGTCCAGCTAAAAACAGGTTATTTCAAGGCATTTCCAGTGGTGAAGCTGGCCCCCTCCCTGGGAAGACCTGCCCCATGAGGGCTGCTCCAGCCAGGTCCATCCACCCCCAGCACCCACGGGGAGGGCTAATTGAGTGACTTTTAGGAAGAAAGAAAATACATAGACACAGGGGTCTTACAAGGCTTAGACCACGAATTTTGACCAAATTTACATGATGGTTTCTTCATCCAACCCTACAGGCTTTTTAAAAAAACAGAGCCATTTCCAACGGCCTTGGTTTCTTCATTGTCGCATACATGTCACCGTAGAGTCCCCCTCCAGGGACAGTACCTCACCACAGGGAACATGTGAGTGTGACAAATGAAATCCACAAAGGGGCCAGTTGCAAGTTGATTTCTCCAGCCCTCACTGACCGCCTCTGGTGTGTCCCCTGAGTGCACGGCCCTGTTTCTCCACAAGTGAGGCCCACAGCAGCTGGAGAGAGGACTCACTCCCCCACTCAGTTCTTCCAAATATTTACCAGTTGTTTGGGGGAGTAGGCTGAGATATACTACCCACTTTCACTTCCAGATATTCTTCCTGTCAACCAAAGATTTGAAGGATTCTACAACCAAAGCACTAATGAGCATTTGCTCACCTCCGTGACAAAACGTAGTGACAGCCACTGTGTGCTGGGCCCTAGGGCTGCCGTGGCCCCAAACCAGACCCAGCTCCACATAGGTGTGTCTCCCCTCAGTAGTCTACAGACCAAGGTGAGGACAAGTCCATCTGGCTCCGTCAGCTGTCACCCATTACTGAGGACTCAGAGCCGCCCCACCTAGCAGGTGACAGAGGATAGGTGGTTGGTGTCTCAGAGGCCCTTGAGTTCACATTGTGGCTCATTGACTGTTAACATTGACATCACTGAGCCTCTTGAAGCCCCAGTTCTCACTCCACACCAAGAGAACATGGGATGTGCAGTTGGAGTTTCTGGAGGAACAATGGCCTGGCCTGTGGCAGGTGGACCTTCCAGATGCTTCCAGCTCAGGAGGGGAAGGAAGGAAAACATCTGTCACCATCCCCCAGCACAGCCCTTCCCACACTGACATCTCTGAGCCAGGATACTGGCAGCAGGACTCCATCAGGGCTTGGGGACCCCGGCCCAGGTCTCCGCTGTACAGAAATGGCTTAAGAAGTCAGAGATGAACTCCAGCAGTATGGCTGCAGGCCATGTTACAACCTGAAAGATGAGGGGTTTTGGCAGGTGATGAACAAAAGGTGGAGTAGGGTGGGGGGCATGGCTGGAAAGCAGAACTGGGGTCAAGAGTTCTTTCATCCAAGAGGGGTGTCTCCACCAGGGAGGTGACACCATCCAAGAAGAAATATGCTTGTGGCAGCCAGCTCCCAAGATGGCCCAATGATGGTCACCTCCTGATAATCCTGCACTTATATAGCTGTGTTCAACTTAAATAGGTCTGACTCAGTAATGTAGCCAATAGGACACTGCAGAAATGACACGGACGACTTCTGAGGCCAGGTCATGCACCACATTGTGGCTTCTGCCCTTCTTTCCTGGGTCACTGGCTCTGGGAGCCAGCCACCATGTCATGAGGATGCTCAAGCATCGCTGAGGAGAGCACCATGTGGGGAGCAGCTGAGGCCCTGAGCCCACAGCAGGCACCGGCTGTGAGGGAGTGAGTCACGTGGAAGTGCACCCCCAGCCCCAGTCAGGCCATCAGATGAGACCCGGCCAAAGTCTGACCACAGCCTCAAAAGAGACCCTGAACCAAAGACACCCTGCACCCAAATTCCTGATCCACAAAAACTAACAGAGTTGATAAATGTCTATTGTCCTTTTAAGCCACTAAATTTTGAGTAATTTGGTATGCGGTGATATAATATGGTCATCAGTACAAAGAGCAAGGGGTGACTTAGGGTTTGAGGGGCTGGGGGCATCAGACCACAGTGGAGAGGTATTCACAGGGAATTAATGGCATATAGTCCTGTTTCTCTGTCCAATTGGCTCATCAATGACTCAGTGGTCCAAACAGTCCTCAACCCTTAAGCGTTCCTGGTAACAATAGTGAAGACCCATTTGTGCTGTTCACTCTCAATGGCCCCAAATAGCTTCACGGGTCAGAGGCTCTCAGGGGAAGGCCATGTGCCCTCTCCCATAATCCCCCTCTTTGTTGCTCCTTCCTCAGGCAGCTTGCTGCACAGGAGGCAGATAGGGAGGGGTCTCCCCGGGGTTAGCTGGCAATGACCTGGGGCAGTCCATCTGCAGAAGACAGAGGAACCCTGAAAGTCAGGCATCCAAAGGGACCTGTGCAGAGCCAAAGGCTGGAAGAGCAGGTGAGCAGAGACCTTTCTACTCTGGGGAAATGTCCATTCATTTCACTTAGGAGTGACCCAAAGGGAGACGGCCCCAAGTCAGGCAAGAAAAAGCAGTCCAGGGTAAGGTTGAATGGGGCAGAGCCCACATCCTGAGGGGATGCCCCTGTCCAACTCAGCCTTACTGAAGAGAGTGTGGGGCCCCCTCTCACATAGGGAAAAGCTAGCAAAGAACCAGGAAGATTTGCACAAAGGGTGGTGGAAAGAGTGACAAAAGAAGCCATATGGGTGGTAAAGTTCTGGGTGTACAGATGAATAAATTCCAGATGAATTAAAGACCAAACATGAAAAGCAAGAAAACCTGAAAACTTTTAGAACAAAATGTATGGAAATGTCCTCATGACTTCAGGTAATATAATTTTTAAAGCATAAGGAAACAACTGATACATTTGACATGAAAATTCAGAATTTATACACAGCAAAGAAAATTTTTAAACAAAGGAGAAAGGCCAGCAGTGACCTGGGAGTTTTTGCAGAGGCTCCTGCCATACCTGGAACACAGAGGTGGTGCCAGGTTTACAAATTCTCAGGGTCATGAAGCAGCTGAGCATTTAAAGAGCTCTGTGTAGCTTACCTCGGACAGACTATGAAGAGGAGAAAAACACTGAGCCTGAAAGAGGCCAGGGACCAGGTTTTAAGGGCTCCTGGGCATACGTTATCCAGTTTGTGTGTGTTTAGGTGGTTTTAGTCTTTTTTTTAAGTTGAAATGTTGCAAAAGGCATACAAATTTCAAAGGTTCAAGCAGTGCATGGTATGAAGTGAGCCTCCCCACTGCCCCCACCCACCCCATGCCCTCCTGTACCCACCTGGGAGTCCTGAGTTGCCCCCCTGCAATCAGGCCCACTGGAGGCTTTGTGCAGCAGAGATGAGAACACCTCAGTCACTGCTAATCCTGGCCAATATCTGCCATCCCTGGCAGGTACACGGCTGAGCTTGCAGTCAGGGAAGTGCTTAAAAACAAAACTTTCCCACTGAAACACCATTTGGCTGGGGTGGCCAGATTTAGCAAAGAAAAACAGAAGGTGCTCTGTTAAATTCAAATTTTTGATAAATGATGAATAATCTTTTCAGTAAAAGCATATCTCGTGCAATATTTGGGACACTGTCATATTAAAAAATTGTTCATTGTTCATCTGAAATTCTAATCTAACTGGGCATTCTGCATTTTATATAGCAACACTAATTTCATGTCAGTAATGAGGATTTGCCAGCCTACAGGAGACCAACAGTCAGTTTGTGGCAGCCACACCCAAGCAGATGCAACCCCCAACCCCAGTGGAGCATTTTAGGTAACTCAGTGTCCTTCCCAGCCTCACTCTGCCCGTCCCCTGACCAGTTTTCAGCCACTTGCAAGCCACTCTGTTAGCTTTGGGCCCCTGTCTGGGTATGAACTGTAACTTATCGGCACCATTGGCTAAAATCGCAGTGATGGACACACTGGCCGCCTCAGCGACACTGCCTGGGTTCTGGAGAAGTCTGTCAACTCCTCTTAACACTCGTATGAGTCTGGCCATTTGAGAGAGGTTTTAACCTCAAATAACATCACCATTTTGATATCCTTTTGGGGATTGCTGCTGCACTTTCATAGGCATGGCTCGCAGGATTCCTTGCGCCCCAGTATCATGGACAGAGGCAATGAGGTGAGGGCTGGTGCGTGTTGACAAGCCACCAATGGATGGATGTTATAACCCACAGTGACAATTTCAACACCCTTTGCCAAAAGTGAGTATTTTTATAGTATAAAATATTAAACAGAACAAAATAGCACCTCTTGATTGTTTTTTATCTGCATTTGTTTGAGTGTGAGGAGTATGGAATAATAATACTACCCCCACTTCTTTCTGAAGAGTGGGGTGATCTCATCTTATCACTTCCAGCCTCCTCTGACACTGAGTGGGGCCATGTGACTCAGCCTTAGACAACAGATGATGTGCCCCTCCGGGCTCCTTGAAAACACCCACAAAGTCTTCTGGCTCCCTCTCCTTGGTTCGTAGGACAAAGCATAGGAGAGGGGTCAGAAGCCACCAAATGGAAGGGACGTGGTCTGAGACCATCATGGGGCTGAGCTGAATGCACATGCCCAGAACCCTTTCTCCCTAAGGGTTTAATTTAGGATTGGTCACAGGGGAAGTTTGCACGAGGTCTTGGAGATGGAAGAGAAG